TATTTCACTTCTATTATTGCTGCTGTTGTTGTTGTAGTAGTAGTTGTTGTTGTTGTTGTTGCTTTAGTGTGTTCAATTCACTCACAAAGCAAGTAAAGGCAGAAATCCTAAACGTGCGGATTTGGTCCTCATTCTGGTACGTTTTCGTTGCATTTGCTATGCACAAGCAGCTGCTGCAATGCAACAGCACATCCTTTTTCGAGGAACTATTGTGGCCGAGTATCCTTTATGCATACGCACGCAGTCTGCAATACGAGAGCTTAAACTTTATTTTACTTTGTCTTTTGATTTACCTGTGCAGCTGTAAGTGCGAGCCTGGCTCCAAAAGGGAAGGGCGAAGGGAAGGGACTCTATTGTAAGTGCATGTAAGGATGCATGCGTGTTTGAATTTGTATTTGGATTTTTTTTGAATTTTATATGGCAAACTTCTTCTACATTTTACATTCTTTACAGTTTTCAAATTGTGTTTATCTTTTCCTTTTGTTTGACTTTTAACCTTTTTTTCTTATTGCATTTCTTCCTTTTTTGTTTGTTTCTATTTTGTACACTTGTTTTATATAAAAACTCGAAGCGAAGAAAACTAAAAATAGCGGCAAGGATAATGTATTGATAAGTAGCAAAACAAATATTGTAACATGTACTAGGGTTAAGTAATGAAAGCGTTCCTTTCTTTTGCTAACTTAGTATGGTCCTTCTTTTTTTTTTCTTCTTATCAGCGTTTCCCTACAACTTTGTGGGCATTCTGAGATTATTTTTTCCTTTCCATGCATTGAAGGCATAAGTATTGCAAGCGTTTCAGCAGACTTACAATGATCTTAGAAAATAGAGCATAAGGATTACTGCACACAGAATTAATTAATTCTACATTATTAAATTTCAGCACAAACACATATACACATACATACCATAGATGTATACACATACACATATACAAAACAGTATATTTACGCACTGTAGTTCTTAAGTTCACGCAAGTTTGTCTGCGTATGAAACGCTTTAGGGCGGAAGAAAGTCCTGCCAGTCAGGAAGGATGCACACAAAACTTTACTAAACATTTACTTAGTGTTGCAGTGTTTGTGTGTGAGTGCATTTCTCCACACATACATATATAAATACATATACACAAGTTTATGTATGTATATGTGTGCTACTATAATAATTTCTGTAAAAGTTTATTTGCCGGATGTACACATGTAGATACCGGAAATGCAAGTTTTGCACATGTTTTCTTTGTTGTTTTCTTTGTTTTCTTTGTTTTTGTGTTTTGTGAAATTTGTTGTTTTAACTTTCGCATTTGTCTTCGCTATTTTATTTCTATTTTTCTTTCCTGTATTGTTTTCGTTTGTTGCTTTGCTATGCCAAAGTTGCAGTTCCTTTTATCCTTTTTCCTTATTTTTCCATATTTTTGTTTTGTTGTTGTTTTTGGTCCTCGCTGTTAATCGTAAGCCGTGCAAATGGACGCTATTGCTTTTTGTTCATACTTATCTTTCAATTGGAAAGCCTTTCTATTTGTTCCATTTATCTTCGAGATTTTTTTCTTCCATTTATCTTACTTCATTTGCTTTCCGTGAGCTTCTTTAAGTTACTTCCACATCCTATTTTTGTCTTACTTAAAGGAAAAAAGTGCGTACTTCCGTGAAGTTTTTAGAATTGAACTTCTTCTTTTCTTCTTCTTTGGTTAGAATAGTCTAAGCTGAAGTTGCTGGAGTAATTTTTCGTCTAATTATAAATGAAAATTAATTTTTTTCTTAAGAAATTTAATTGCCATACTTAAAATATCCCATCTCTAGGATGTAGCCATTTTTAAAGTTCTGTATGTGGAAGTTTCTCTACATAATTGTGTTTTTTTTTTCAATTTACATTCTTTATTAAATTTGATTTATAAAGCTTACTGATTACTTTTGAAATATAAAATGAATTTTACCAAAACGACCCAAAGGAATGAGACTAGAAGCGTAGTCGTAAGGTTTTCATTTAATATAATCAGTTTTACACAATCCTAGCGTTACTATATATTTGTTGACAAGATCAGTTCTGTTTCAAGCGATCTAATTAAACTTAGTCATTCAGTGGAGTCAGTTTAAACCTTAAACCCACTCCATCTATCAGAGTCAGTTTAACTTATCGTTAGGCTTACTATATTCTCTTTGGCATGATCAGATTTGATTTAAGTGACATATGGGTATTGGTTAAATTAATTATTACTCGTTAAAGTTAAATTAACGTGGCATAAGGTATGCCTTTACTGGGTTCCGAGTCACAGTGGAGTTTTGGGAAATCAACAAGCTGATGAGCTAACCAGAATTGCATCAAAAACTGCTTTCGCAGCCTCTCAACCCTTTGTGGGTTAAACTGGGTCAGTACAAAACAAATCATCAAGGAGAGGGAAAATCAGGAGTAGTGGGAAGACTTCACAGGACTTAGACAATGCAAAGCGCTGATAAAACCGTTCTCCTACAAAAACATTCTTAAATTCTCAGTATGTGATTTAACGTTGATGACGGTTTTCATTACAGGTCATTATGGTCTGAAATATCACTTTCATAAGCTACGATTATCTGCTAATTCGGAATGCAGATCATGTTATGCCAAGTAGATGAGGAAACTACTATGTATATTCTTCGTGACTGCTCAGCTTTAATAACGCATAGAAGAAACTTGTTTCCTATGGAATTTCTGTCACCAGAACAGATTAAGAGCTTTTCTCTTGATTTAGTTCTGGAGCTTTTAAGGGCTTTGTGCAATCAATAGTGAATTTGTTACAATAGGACTCTTCTGGCCGTAGTACCGGCTGTTGAGCGATTTCACGTTTAAGCTTTAATAATACTAAATTAACATATTAAATGCCAATTAAACTTTCATATATACGTATCTAAAACGAATCATTGCACATTTATTATATAAATATAAAAAAATTTTCAGTCTGGAAATATGAAATTTCATTATAATGAAATCAAAAAGAAGCAAAAAAAGATAAATGCAGTAATTAGGCAACATCATAGTTAACTAACAAATCCAGAAAAGTTTTAAGCCGCAAAGATGTACAACAATATTAGCCTCAGAGTTTATCTGCCAACTCACAGCACAGACCCGTGCTCAGCTCTATGGCGATGGCGATGGCAATGGCGATGGTTTAATGGCTATTTTCGTATGTAAACAAAGCAGCTAAATGAGTATAAATTATAAACTTGAAACCTGAAAACTGAAAACTGAAATAGTCGTTGTATATTCGACTATGCATAAACTTTTTAACAAACCATAAATTATCTTGTT